TCCTTCTGAGGAGTGGCTGGTGGGTTTGAACCACCAGCCTTCTGGTTAGCAGTCAAGTGCTTTAGCCACTATGCTACCAGAGCTCCCTAAGCTTCTATCCAAGGGTAGAAGGTATTATTTCTGAGGCAGAGGGGTGCTCCAGTGTATCAGGCAGTAGGAAGTTGTATAGTTAAATATTCTTCAGGATTTGTGAATGAGAATTAGATACAAAACTTAGGAGGAGATCATAACAGAGGACTTGAAAATGCTAAAATTATCAAAGATGGAGGGGGAATACCTAGAAAGTCTATAGATAAAAGCAACACAGAAGAGTAGATTATAGTATGTGGACACCTAAAACACAACTGAGATGGCTACAATCTTTCTTCCATATTTGGATTGCTACTCCTAATGCTACTGGTAGAATTTCACACTGACCATCTAGTGGGACTTAGAAAAATTTAGATTTGATGACCTACCCCAGATACTAGGGTTTACCAATTTTTTACATATTCCAAATGGCTCGTTGACCCAATACAACAATGAATTGTGGGAACTAAAGCTCTCTACTACTTAACATTGTTATACCACTGTCTCAATTTATCATTGAAAACTCTATTATTATTATTATTATTATTATTATAGTTCTTACTTATTCAGAACTCAATACATGCTAGATGCTTTTCTAAATATTTAAAAATATTATCTTAAACCTCTCAATAACTACAGGGTAGGTGTCATTACCATTTTCAATTTATATATAAAGAAATTAGCAATATAGCCTACACCTAAGCCCAACCAATCAGGTATCAGAGTCTATCCTACCATGATATCAAGATAAAATTACAAAATTAAAACAAATTTCTTTCCTCTGCTTTAGACTAGAATTATAACATGATTGTTGTTAACAAGTTATGATATGCTGATCATAAACTATGAAACAGGGAAATTAGTTATAGTTTGATAAAATCAGTTTGGCAAACAAAGTACTTCAAAACACAAACCAAAACCAAACTCACTGCCCCTTTGGGTTTCCAAGGTGGTAAATCTTCACAGAAGTAGACTGTCCAGTCTTACTTCCATGGAGTGATTGGTGGGTCATCATAAAAAAAATGGATAATGCAAGGTTCTTTATTTAGGGTAAGAGTAGTAAATAACTCCTCTAGATTCCTTCACATTTTTTTTAATGTTCCCTTCATCTCCTTAGCCCTAATATTAGATATGAGTTTAACTGGGAAGTTGATTGATTGTGGCTATAAAGACTAATCTAATCCTCACACTGGGGAGTGCATGTGTCAGACGTGGCATCTTAAAAGAAGTCACACTGAATGTGACAATAAATCTTAAAGGTGAAATAAGACTCTGGGCTAGAGGTAAGGAGAAAACCCAGTGAAGGGATGGAGAAAAGGATACGGTATATTTCAAGTCATAAGTACTGGTATACCAAATAATTTTATCAATTCAAAATGATAAGATAATTACTTTTGACAATTTTTTTGCCTTCTCAAAGCAGCTATCTTTATACTACGAAATGTGGCTGTCAAATTTTATTAAAGTCATTATTCAGATACTTACTTTTAATTCATTTTTCAGCATTTCTTCAAGAAGACTTACATGTTCTTCATCTTCTTTTGTGTCCATAACTATACAAATCTGTTGTGAAATCCTCTCTGAAATAAAAAAGGAAAAAAATAAAGAAAGAACATAAACACAGAATCAAACCCTAGTCTGCTGAAATCTATGCTTGCTGTTCGTAACAGGGAGGCCTTGGTTTCAGGTCAAGTGGAGTGACCTGTACTACATACAGAGATGCCTTTAACACTTTTCAACACCCAAACCAATAAATCTGCATATTAAACATTTTGTGAGTGGGTTACCAGGCTATTGTACAACCAACAGAAATGAAAGATCCTAGAATACAATGAAAGGGCATTATAAGAGGTGACAGTTAAATGGCTCGCCATTCAACTCTTCCACATTGATAAAGAGTCTCCCAGAATCTGATACAATCCCACCTCCCTTTAGGCTATAAGATGTCTCCTATGTACAAACTCATGTGCCATCTTGTGGTCTGGCTAAATACAACATTTTCTTTGTCATCCCTCTAGATTTAATCAATTCAATGCAATTACATTTTTGCTCATTTGACTATTGCCACATCAAGTAAAACAGAGCCAAATTAATTTTCTTCAAATGTAAAAGCCTTATATGAGATCATCTAATTTAAAAATATAAGCTGTGTGACATGGTACTAATGACTTCTGGAAACCCTAGATGTACTCTTCCAAAAGATGTGCAATCTCCAGTAGGCCAATTTGAGATACTAAGACGTATCCAGATGGATGCCAGTCAAAGAGGCATTCCATGCTATTATATCATGAATAAAGAAAATAAAAACTGTTCTCAAACAGAAGTCCTGCATCAAAAGTTAATTTGATGAATTCTGGACCCTGCTGCTTCCTGCTTGGTCAAGTCTCTAAAGCATGCTCCATATATCTACTGGTTTAGCAATAGCTAATTATTTTCCCAAACAGAACAGAGGAGACTAGAACATTTAAAATAACAACAACATCAACTAATACTACTACTTTTACTAACTACTTACTGAGAATATTACATGTTCCAGGAGTTAATGCTATATTAATTATAATTCTCATGACAATTCTATGTTGCTGCTGTTGGTGGTGGTAGGTACAGTCAAGTTGTCTTGGACCCATGCACAACAGAATTGAACACTGCCTGGTCATGTGCCAGCCTCACTATCCCTTCTATACCTGAGCCTATCATTGTTGCCACTGTGTCAATTCATCTTGTTGAGGGCTTTCCTATTTTTTGGTGAATATCCACTTTACAAAGCATAATATCATTCTCCAAAGAAGCTCCCTTCTGACAACATGACCAAAATAGATGAGACGAAGTCTGGCCATTCTTGTTTCCAAGGAACATTCCAGCTGCACTTCTTCCAGGACAGATTTGTTAGATCTTTTAGCAGTGCATGGTACCTTCAGCATTCTTAGCCAATACCACAAATCAAAAGCATCAACTCAAGAACAGACATATGCACACCCATGTTCATCACAGCACTATTTACAATAGCCAAAAGATGGAAAGAACCTAGGTGTCCATCAACTGAGGAATGGATAACCAAACTATGGTACATACACAGAATGGAATACTAGGCAACCCTAAAGAATAATGTGTTGTTGTTGTTGTTAAGTGCTGTCAAGTCGTTTCCGACTCATAGCAACCCCATGCACAGCAGAACAAAACACTGCCCAATCCCACGCCAGCCCCACAATCCCTGCTATACTTGAGCCCATCATTGCAGCCACCGTGTCAATCCATCCCATTGAAGGTCTCCCCCTCTTTCGTCAACCTCCACCATACCAAGCATGACATCCTTCTCCAGGGAATGGTCCCTTCTTACAACATGACCAAAATAGGTGAGACAAAGTCTGGCCATTCTTGCTTCCAAGGAGCATTCTGGCTGCACTTCCTCCAGGACAGATCTGTTAGTTCTTTTAGCAGTCCATGGTACTTTCAGCATTCTTCGCCAGCACCACAACTCAAAAGCATCAACTCTTCTTCGGTCTTCCCTATTCATTGTCCAGCTCTCACGTGCATACAAGGTGATTGGAAATATCATGGCTTGTGTCAGGCTCACCTTAGTCCTCAAGGAGATAACCTTGCTCCTCAGCACTTGAAACAGTTCCTTTGCGGTTGACTTTCCCAATGCTGCACGTCGTCTAATGTCCTGCTTCCGTTGGCATCGATTGCAGAACCAAGCAATGTGAATTCTTTGACAACCTCAATCTTCTCTCCATTTATTGTGATGCTGCTCATTGTTCCAGTTGTGAGGATTTTTGTTTTCTTTATATTGAGATGTAATCCATACTGCAGACTGTATTCTTCAACCTTCATCAGTAGGTGCCTTAAGTCATCCTCACTTTCAGCAAGCAAAGTTGTGTCCTCTGCATATCTCAGGTTGTCAATGATTCTTCCTCCAATCCAAATGCCACATTCTTCTTCATACAGTCCAGCTTCTCAGATTATATGTTCAGTATACATACAAGTATGGTGAAATGATATAACCCTGATGCACTCCTTTCCTGGAACCATAATGTATCCTCTTGTTCTGTTAGAATGACAGCTTCCTGGTCTACGTACAGGTTCCTCATGAGTACAGTTAAGTGCCCTGGAATTCCCATTCTACCCAATGTTATCCACAATTTGTTATGATCCACACAATCAAACACTTTTGCACAGTCAATAAAAGACAAGTAGACATGTTTTGGGTATTTTTGCTTTCAGCCAACACACATCTGATATTGGCAATGATATCCCTCATTCCATGTCCTCTTCTAAATCCAGCTTGCATTTCTGGAAGTTTTCTTTCAATATACTGCTGCAAACTTATTTGAATTATCTTTAGTAAGATTTTACTTGTATGTGATATTAATGATATTGTTTGATAATTTCCACAATCTATGGGAGACCTTTCTTTGGAATGGGTACAAACATGGATCACTTCCAGTCAGTTGGCCAGGTAGCAGTCTTCCAAGTCTCTTGCCTCAAAAAGACAAAGGTAGGTGTGGACTTCCAGTAAGTGGGTGGAATAGGCAGAAAGACTGCATAGACCCTCTTCAACAAAGAAAAGGGGAAAAAATTAACACAGATACAGAAAATAATCCTGGACCACTGAATCTTGAAGGGAATGATACAGAAGTGGACTAAACTCCAACTAGCAGAAGCATGTGCATAAAAACACCAAAAAGGGAGACATATGGAGGTGCAGTTTGGCAGCAATCCTAATAGCACAGACAGCTTGGATATTGCTGAGTAGTGGTAGGACCTAAGAATTAACCTGAAAATTGAGACTGCTAGCCAGGGACTGCACAGAGTACTGCTCTGGTGGCTGAGGAATAAGAAGGGAAGCAGTGAAGAGGAAGATGGGCTGAGCTGTGAACTTTTGTCTGTTTGGAGGGCATAGCCATTTTGAATGTTTACAAGTGGCTTGACCATTTTGGATATTTAAGGGACAGTGTTCTCCAAGATTCCAGGGACTTAAGAACAGGCTCCACTTGCCAGGAAACCCAATGACATTCCAGACCCGGACGATTAGAAAGGTGCAACATTTCCCTTGATACTCTTATACCCCACACCCTCTTGGTGAATGGAGGTGTGGCCATCCCTCACTCCAACCCACTTTCTGTGCCAGCAGGAATTTCATCCCAGTCTGTGTGCTAGGACAGAGCCTGAGTGCCCTGCCACGCCCTGCCCTGATGTTTTTTTCTGTTTTTTAGTTTGTTTGCTTTTGTCCATTTTAAAACTACTATTATTGTTACTACTTTTGTACTTTTTACTATTTTTCTTTGTTATACCTTATCCAGGTTCTAGTTTTCAGCTTTTTTTCTTTTCCCTGGTCCTGGTTGCAATTTTTTTTCTTCTCATGGCTAACCCCATTCCTTGTTTTTCTTTTTTTGTTTTTCAATTCTTATTTTTGTCTAACTGAGTGGAAGACAACAACAGTCCTCATATGACACAACTACACCAACACCTGCAGCTTCACATACTGAGTGAGACCCAACGATAAACCACCACCAAGAAAAGTCTGACTCATCCTTGGCTGCTCTTCACAAACAGTTAACAGAGATCTAAATACAACACCATGATGTCTCGGACACAACAGACCATCACAGTCCACACAAAGAATCAAGATAAAGTAGGTGAAACAACGGAGCAGGATACAGACCCAGAACACATTCCTGAGGAAGAAGCAACACTGGAACTCTCTCATAAGGAATTCAAAAGAATTATATGTAGGTATCTTCAAAGGATTGAGAGACAATCAAAGAAAACATAGATAAAACCCTAGAACAATTTCAGAAGAAAATACACGAACATGTATTTGTTGTGTGACAAAATAAATAAAAAATTAGAAATGATTCTAAATTAACAGATAGAAACTGAGAAGATTAATACGAAATTGTCAGAAATAGATAACACATCGAAAAGGCAAAGAAGTAGAACTGATGCAACAGAAGACAGAATTAATAAGCTTGAAAACAAACACCTAAATACTTCTTTGGAAAGGGATCAATCAGAAAAAAGATCAAAACAAAATGAAGAAAGTCTAAGGTTCATATGGGATATCATCAAAAGGAATAACCTACATGTCACTAGAATTCCAGAACATGAAGAGAAAAATAAAACCATAGAGAAAATTGTCCAAGATTTGTTGGAAGAGAAATTCCCTGATGTGATGAAAGATGAAAATATATACATTCAGAAAGTCCAAAGAACCCCAAACAGGATAGGCCCCAAAAGAAAATCACCAAAACATATCATCATCAAACAAATCAAAACCAAAGATAAAGACAGAATCCTGAAAGCAGCATGGAAAAAACAAAAAGTTACTTACAAAGGACAACTAGTAAGAATAAGCTCTGATTTCTCAGCAGAAACCATGCAAGTGAGAAGGCAATGGATGGTAATATATAAAACTCTGAAACAGAAAAATTTTCAACCAAGAATTATATACCTGGCAAAATTGTTCCTCAAATATGATGGTGAAATTAGGAAATATCCAGATAAACAGAAACTACGTGAATTTGTTAAAACCAGACCAACCTTACATGAGATACTAAAGGGAGTCCTTTGAAGAGAGAAC